TGGTGTGACTCGTTCGGGCTCCTCGTGGTGTGAGTCGTTCGGGGCCCGCGTCGTGGTGTGAGTCCTTCGGGCTCCTCGTGGTGTGAGTCGTTCGGGCGCCTCGTCCTGGTGTGAGTCGTTCGGGCCCCTCCTTGTGGTGTGAGTCGTTCGGGCTCTTCGTGGTGTGAGTCGTTCGGGCCCCTCGTCCTGGTGTGAGTCGTTCGGGCTCCTCGTGGGGCCTCTTGGGGGCCTCTTGGAGCCTCGTTGGGGGGCCTTGGGGCCTCTTGGGGGCCTCTTGGGGCCTCTTGGGGCCTCGTGGGCCTCTTGGGGGCCTCTTGGGGGCCTCTTGGGGCCTCGCCTCTGGGGGCCTCTTGGGGGCCTCTTGGGGCCGCTTGGGGGCCTCTTGGGGGCCTCTGGGGGGCCTCTTGGAGGCCTCTTGGGAGCCTCCTGGGGGCCTCTTGGGGCCATCTTGGGGCCTCTTGCGACCTCCGCAGAAGCGCAAAGGAGAGCTGCCCCCTGAGAATGACAAAATGAGCCCAAAACCTTCGTAAAATCAATGGTTTTGAGAACAAGGAAGAGGAGCGCTGCCCCCTTCAGAAGGCCAAAATGGGGCCAAAACCGTAGTAAAATCAATGATTTTGGCTTCACAGAAGATGAGAGGGTTTTTTCTCAATCCCCCCGTCGGGGGCAGAATCCTCGTGAGGGTCGTCGTTTTTTAGCCCTCCCAGGAGTCGAAAAAAAGACCCCCCCTGAGAACACTCGGGACTCCCTGTCCAGGCCCAGGGGGAGGAGGTAGGGGGAGGGGTAAACCCCTCCCCGAAGGGGAAGAAGGGGGGTTGGGGGGTTGAGGACAGAGAAAGCTCGCTAAACCACTCACGCCCAAAGGGTTGGTGGGATTACCCCAGTGCGACCTTACCTAGAAGTTGGAGCCCCTAGGAGAGCAGCATTATGTGTTATGCTATGCCATGCTATGCTGCGATATGCTCTGCTATGCTCTGCTATGCTATGCTATGCTATGCTGCGCTATGACATGTTATGTTATGCTAAGCTATGGTTTGTAATGCTGCGCTGTGCTATGCTATGCTATGCTATGCTATGCTAAGCTGCGCTATGTTATGCTCTGCTATGTTATGCTATGCTGCGCTGTGCTATGCTGTGCTGTGCTGTGCTGTGCTGCCCTATGCTATGTTATGCTATGCTATGCTGCACTATGCTATACTATGATGGGCTATGTTATGGTATGGTGTGCTGCGATATGCTTTGCTACGCTATGATACGCTGTGTTATGTTGTGATATGCTATGCTAAAGCTCAGCGAAGCTAAGATGAAGGTAAGCTAAGCTAAGATAAACCTGAGTTAAGATGAAGCTAAGCTAAGCTCAAATGAGATAAGTAACGCTAAGCTAAGGGGATGTAACTGTGGGAACCGCGGGGCGGATGCCGGGGAACCGCCCGGGGCGGAGCCCACTGCCCGGCCCCTTTAAGCTCAGAGAGTAAGAACCCTTACAGGCAGAGCCTAGGTAGGGAATCATAGATCATCGTCGTTGCGTTCGTTATCGTCATCATCCTCATTGTTTTCCTTCTCCTGCTTCTCATATGGATCCTTTTTTCCCGTATGCTTACTATTATGAACGTTTTGCGTAACTCATGTGTCAGCCCATCCATAAACGATGCCCAGGCGAGTTGCCCTGATCAGGGATGTGGAGGTTTATGTAGTGGAATAGTGGGTTTGGGAAGCCGCCTTTCTGCAAAAGGGGGAGGAGGAAGGAGAAATCGGAGGAGGAGGAGGAGGAGGAGGGGGAGCAGGGAGGGGAAGGGGGGAGGAGGGACGATGAGGAATAGGCGGATGAGAGGAGGAGGAGGAGGAGGAGGAGGAGGAGGAGGAGAAGGAGGAGGAGGAGGAGGAGGAAGAGGAGGGGGAGGAGGAGGAGGAGGAGGAGGAGGAGGAGGAGGAGAAGGAGGAGGAGGAGGAGGAGGAGGGCGAGCAGAAAGGCCAGAAGCATATTGGATGCCTCTCGGAGTCTCTTCGGATGTCTCTTGAGAGCTTCTTGGAGTTTTCTTGGGGCGTCTTGGGGGGACTCTTGGCGATCCCGGGGGCGTCTTGGAGCGTATTGGGTGCTTCGGCGGAGCCTCCTGGTGGTCTCGTGGGGGCCTCTTGGGGACCTTTTGGGAGCCTTTTAGGCCCTCCTGGGCGCCTCTTGGGGCTCTCTTGTGGAACGTTTGGGAGCCCCCTGCGCCTTCTTGAGCCCATATTAGAGGACATCGATCAAAGAAGGGGGGTAATCAATTAGCCCCGCTCCATCTCGAGCCCCTCGAATCGTTTCGTGGATCCCTCTTGGGCCGTCTTGGGACCCTCATGGGCTTCTCTTGGGGCTCTCTTGGGCCTTCTTGGAGCCATCTTGAAGCATCGGAGGGCTGTTGAACACGAAAAGGCGATAAGGCAAGATTACCCGGGACGTGCCAAACCCCTTCTCCACGCGAGGCGGATACTTGTATGGACGCTCTGCACCACAGAACACATCGCCAGACACGCACGATCTGCGCTGCCCTCACCTCCGCCGCCGTGCCTCCCAGGAGCCCACGAAAGTGGCGACGGCTTGGCACTTCGCATCCCTCCAGGGAGCCGCGAGGTCTCGGCTGGGCCTGCGTGGACCCCCCATCTCCGCCGTGCCTCCCAGGAGCCCATGAAGGCGGCGACGGCTTGGTACTCCGCGGCTGCTCCCCGGGGAGCCGCGAGGTCTCGGCCGAAAGCAGCAGGAGGAAGGGGGGAGGAGGAGGAGGAGGAGGTGCAGGAGGAGGAGGAGGAGGAGGAGGAGGTGCAGGAGGAGGAGGAGGAGGAGGAGGAAGAGGAGGAGGGGGAGGAGGAGGAGCAGGAGCAGGAGGAGGAGGAGGAGGAGGAGGGGGACGAGGGGGACGAGGGGGAGGAGGGGGGGCGGAGTCCACAGGGTTCTATTCAGACCGGGAGCCCCACACGGGAGGGTAGGGGAAACGGTGGTTTGCCTTTTGGGTTTGAAGGATTTGGGCCTCTTGGGTGATCTCTTGGGGATGCTCCGTGGCCACTTGGAGCCGTCTTGGGGCTGTGTCTTGGAGCCTCTTAGAAGCCATCTTGAGCTACCTCGAGCCATCTTGGAGGTAATATTCGGCTCCCCGAGGCCCTCTTCGAGCCAGCTTGGACGCTCCAACCCTTCGCGACCCCACCCATCCAGGTCCAGGGTAGGGAGCAGGGGGAGGGGTCAAGGCACCTCCTGCCCACAGTGCACAAACCGTCTCGCTCACTCCCAACCGCCCTCCCAACATAGAAGTATCATCCCCGCATCCGTGTCGAAAACCAGTGCGAAGTGGTCGCGAGGCGCCCGCGCATGCTCCAGATTTGGAGGCAGCGTTGATTTAGTATTGTGCTTTGACAGGGATACCCAGCCTGCGCGCAGCAAGCAAGATGAGGGCACCTTTGCCGACCTTGTAAAAACGCATGCGAAGGCGCCGCGGGGCGTCCCCGGTTGCTCCTGACTGGTAGGCAAAGCATATGTTATATTGTTTGGGGACAGAGATAGTAGTTGGCCTGCGCGTAGCCAGCAATAGGAGGGCACCCCCGCCGACCTTTGTCAAAAACGAATGCAAAGTGGTCGCGGGGCGCCGCAGTGTGCTCCAGACTTGGAGGCAAAGCATATGTCAGATTGCTCTTGGACAGAAATCGTTGGCCTGCGCGTAGCCAGCAATATGAGGGCCGTCCCTGTCAAAAACCATGCAGATTGGTCGCGGGGCGCCCGCGCATGCTCCAGATTTGGAGGCACATTGAATTTTGCATCATGCTTTGGCAGGAATGTGGGGGGCGGTGGCATCGGGACGGGTTGTCTGCCGGTCGTATGGGGACGGGTAGCTGATCAATCAAAGGCAGTGATCAAGACAAGACGCACACTCTTTGGCTCACTCCCACCCGCCCTCCCAACACACAAGCAGTACCCGAGTCACAGCATATCCTACGGCCGTCTTTGGATACGCAGCTACTGCGAACCAATGCAGACCCGAGGTGCGCGACGCTGTGGCGAGGTGCGCCACGCACACCAAATGCGCCGCGTGATCCACGTGCAAATGTGCCGCATGCTCCAACGGGGCACGCGCAGAGTGTGCCAAGTAGGCCCGCGCACATCGGTAAGCATGTCGGCCCCCACAAGCCTCGGATCCGCACAAGGTCCGTATTGGGTCCGTTTGTAGCCCGTGGCGAGGTTGACACTCCCGAATGGGGACCCTCGTCAATGTTTTCGGGGGGCCGTGCTCTCGTTTTCCGATGCCCGATGCTGCGCCCATCGCCCGAGACCAGCCGCCAAACACCCTTTCCCCAGGCTGGCTGGGCTGACGGCCCCTGGACTGGCTGGACCGACAGTTTGGCACCTTCATGAGATTTCGGGCCGAATTCTCAAATCTAGAAGCAAAAGGAGTAAACAAAAACAGAGGCCGCCCTACACCCCGCGCCAAAAGGGCGCACGAAGGGTCGGGAACGGCACCCGTGGGACGAAGACGCGGAGCGTTGCCCAGCGCCTGACCCCGCCAAGCACGGCGACAGTGTGCCCTCGGCGGAAGACGCTGCTGCCAAAAGGTTGCAGGCCGAGAGCCGCGGGCCAAGACCCGTTTCCGTAACGTCACCGGCGGTACACTTCATAGGTTGCCGAGAATGGCCTCCGCACTGAAGCGCGTTGAAACCAGGCGGGCCTGGTCCAGCAGCACCGCGGCACCCCGAGCTGCCCTTCCAGCTCCCCCAACGGGGAAGTGGGCAGACAGCAGGGGCGGGCGAGCCACATCCGGCGGCCCCCTGGAGGTGACACGGTGCCACAGGGCGCCCAAGCTGCACCGATTGGCCGCGGCGGCAAGGACTCGAGGAGGAGGAGGAGGAGGAGGAGGAGGAGGAGGAGGAGGAGGAGGAAGGGGGAGGAGGAGGAGGAGGAGGAGCGGTACCCCCCCACACTCGCATCGCGCTTCCCCGCCACACTCGCATCGCGTTCCCCCGCCCTGGCCCGTCGCGCCGAGGACTTCGTGGAGATGGCGAGCGCCGAGGGCGGGGGCATCGCCGACCACGGCGTCGACATACACCTGGCGCGCCGGGGGGGGGGGAGGAGGAGGAGGAGGAGGAGGAGGAGGAGGAGGAGGAGGAGGAGGAGGAGGAGGAGGAGGAGGAGGAGGGGGCGGCCCGATGTTTGACCATCCTAGACGTAGTTTTTGTTGCAGCAGCGTGCTCTGGCGGCCCAGCTCTTCCTCCCGAGTCGCTTCTGCACGGCCCCGGGGCCCGGCAGAAGGGCGCCCAGAGGCCGATCGAACGGCCTCAGTCCGCCCCTTGCGCGATCCGCTCCGCAGGGAGAGGAGGTGCGGCATCTCCCGCGCGGCCTTGGCCTCGGGCGGCTCCCCGGGGGGGGCAGGCGCGCACGCCGCGCGCGGCGGGCCGCGCGAGGCCGACTCTGGCTTCGCTTCTCCTCCTCTTCCTCCTCTTCCTCCTCCTCTTCCTCCTCCTCTTCCTCCACGCATCCTCCTCCTCCTCATCCTCCTCCTTCTCCTCGCATCCTCCTCCTCCATCGGCGAGCGCCGTCAAACGCCCGCCTGGGAAGGGCGCGTGCCGCCGTCGGCCCGCCGCGCCGCCCCGCCAGCGCGGCTCGCCGCCGCACGCACGGCGGGCTCTTCTCCGGCCGGTGGGCGGCGGACGGTCGCCCCCGACAGCAGAGCCGCTGTGCTCCGGTGGAGTTTGCAGTGTGAAGTCGTTTCGGGACGGCACCCCAGAGGGTGTGGGCGAGCAGGGCGGAGATGCTTCGCCTCAGAGAAGCAAGGCTGCTGCTTCCCCAGGGGCATGACCGAGACACAGCGGCGGCAACGCGCAGGGCGGAAGCCGGCATCAAAGGACTTGCGAAGTCGCCCAGAGCACGGCGGATCCTGACGTCAGCGCGACCCCCTGACCTGGATGCCGGAGAGGCCTCCCCCCCCTCGCGTCCGCGGCCCCGGCCCCTGGGCTCCCGGAGGCCCCCGGGGGGGGGCGCAGGACGTCCCCCCAGAGACCGCGGCCCTCGCTCCTCTCCTGGCGGGCCCCGACCAGCACGTTGTCGAGGTCGGCCCGGGGATGCCCGCGGCCGCGACGGCGGGCGCCGGTGGGAGGGGCGGATGTGTTCTGTTGTTCCCCGCTCGACTAGACGTAAGAGTCACCTTTCGCCGGAGTGACCTTTGGTGTGGGCCCAATGGGTTCCCACGGTCGCCAAACGCGATACGATAGTAGCGTCTTGCGCGCTTGTGTTTGGTCCCCCATTCGGCCCCCAAAAAGCCGCGCACCAAAGGTCATTCTTACCCAGGGTCACTCTTGCGTGTAGTCGACCCTCGCCGCCCGCCTGCGGAGCGCAGCTCCCGCGCGGGCGCCGGCGGGGGGCGCCGCAGTGGCGCCGGCGCGCCCGCGGCAGGCGCTCGCCGCCGCAGGCGGTGGGCCGGCGGTCGGGGGCGCGCCGCCGAGGAAGGGGGCTTCTCTCGTAGGCGGGGGGCCCTTTCCCCCCCGTGGCGCGGGCAAATCCCACGGGGACGCCGAGCCAGCAAACGCTTTGGATAAGTCCGAGAAGGAGTTGCTGGCCCGACCGGCTGCGCACTCGCCGCACGCCCTGCCCAGATGGACGCTGATTTTGTGTTTTTTTTTGCTTCCAACTTGGAAGCGTGCGGCGGAATCCACCCTAAAGGCCGAAAAAGCCGGGCGGAAGTTTTGTCCTGCACCCAACATAGAAGTAGGGCGGAAGTCCACAGAATAGGGCGGAAACGGCAACAGAAAAGTAGGAGCGGAAATTGTGGCATCAGGGGGCTTGGAAAAGTAAGGCGGAATTCCAAGCCCTACTCTAAAAAAAAACCAAAGTGGGCGGATCCGGAGTCAGGGCGGACCGACTCGCCCGGGGGGGGGGGGTCGGTCCGAGCAGTCGAGTCGCCCGGGGGGTCTTCCTCGGCTGCTCATCTGTTCCTGTACGGGGGGAGCCACGGAAGGCGGAAATGGAAGGGGCAGAAGGGGGATGTTTCGGATGTCGGCGCTGATTTCAGCAAGGAGCCTGTCCAGCACGGCCGGCACGCAAGCTCTGGGATATGCGATGTAGCAGCTCTGTTGGGGCACCCAGGTCAAGTAAAGCAGGCAGGCAGTAGCAAGCAAAAGCAGGCAGCAGTAGCAGCAAGTAGCAGCTGGCAGTAGAGCGAAGTGCATTTACGCGCAGCCGACCTTTGCGGCCGTTCGTGGCAACTGAGTGGGAGAGTTACCTTCACCCCAGCACGGCGAGAACGAGGCGACGGCGGAAACAGGGCGGCCATCTGTGCGCTTTGGAGGAGGGCAGGAAGGATCACCGCGTCTCTCGGCGCTTGTCCAGGACGGCAAGCAAAAAACAGGCTCAGGTAGACAAACTTGCATGTCGCAGTGCGGTGAAGGGGGCCAGAATAGTGCGCCTGTCACAGTTCATTGCATACCTGAGTGGGCAAGGTATCTTCTCCCCTTGGCACGGAAACCAATAGGGCAACAGACAACGGCGGTAATTTGCCCATTACGGGGGAAGGCAGAAGAGCACTTGCAGATCGAACGGTGCGGTGCCAATCTTGTTGGATTGTAGCGCCGACGGCGAGCGTCTGCTGCTGCTGCTGTGTCTGGGCGGGCACGGGACAACAGGGCTGTGTGCGACCAGGCCGCCAGCAGACAGCCTTGACCATGAACACCGCCAGATTGTTTCTACAGCTGTCCCTACCTCCCTCTGTTCCCCCCAGGGAGGCTTGGGATCAGCCAGACCCGCCGTCAGACCCGTCTCACCATGCACACCGCCAGACTGCCTTGCATAGCAGAACACCGCACGCTAGGACACCTGTCCCTTGATCTGAAACTAACTGAGCATGCAGGAGCGGTTTTTTACGAGGCACTACCGTGCACATGTCTGGCAAGAGCTTGGCAGAAAACAAAGAAGGCAGCGGTAGCAGTCCTGTTGACTCGTTCGAATTGGTCCCTTCCCCACGGGCAGAAATAGGTTTCAGAGAACACGAGTGCAATCAGGCAGCGTGAGCGCAGGCCAGTTTCCTTCACCTTTGCCACGGCACGAAGCGAGACGACGGTGGACCAACAGCGGCGATCTGCATTTTCAGGAAGCGGCAGGACTGAGCTGTCTCGCAATTCGAACGTTGCGGCATCAATCCCGATTTGACGGCAGCGCCGATGGCGAACGCTTGTTGCTGGGTCTGGGCGGGTATGGGACCACATGGCTGCGCGACACGGCAGCCAACGGACAGCCTTGACCATGAGCATTGCCAGATTGTCTCTACAGCTGTCTCTCCCGAGCAAACGCAGACACCGACTACTGCCCCGGTTGACGGTTCGCTGCGCACCGAGAGGAAGGCATATCTATTTGTCGCACGTAACACAGCGAGGCGGCGACAGGCCATGTCGGTTATTTGCGCACTCGAGGGGGGAGGGAGAGGTCAGCAAGCAAGAAGAGGGAAGGGCACGCTGTTGCAACATGCCCGCGGGCGGAAGCACGCGAGGGCAACATATGTTTTTAGACACGTGCTTGTGCATTCATAGGCTGACGCCCCCTTCTGGCGCCCACATGACAGGCGTTTGTATCCAAGACTCTTGGAGGCACCTTGGGCGGTCTTCAGGCCATGTTTGGCCGCCGTGTGGCCATCTTAACCCGTCTTCGAGGCATACTGGGCTACCTTGGTGACCTTGGTTGTCAGCATGGGCAGTTGTGGAATCCATCCTGTTTCATCTAGGGATCGTGGCCCCGGGAGCGCGGACCCGTCGTTTTTTTCTGCGAGGGTTCCTGATTTCGGGAGGGAGGCGGGGTGCGCGCATCATTCTGGGACGAGGGGGGCGACTCGAACACAGAAGCCCTACAGAGCGGCACTTGGCATTCTAACACGCACACAGTGTGCAGGCACGGTGGCGGATGGGAGGAGGAGGGGGAGGAAGAGGAGGAGGAGGTGGAAGAGGAGGATTATGCCGTCGTCCTCAGCATAGAGCTCCTAGGGCGGGTCAGGTCGTGAGGATGCTGAACGGCGCGCTCCAGCGTCTCGACGGCTTCCACATGTAGCTTCGCTGAGCCGAAGCCTCACGCAGCGCCCTAGGAAGCTCAGCGAGACCCACGCCTCTTCGCCGAGAGCGAGGTAGGCAGAAGAGGAGGAGGAGGAGGAGGAGGAGGAGGAGGAGGAGGAGGGGCGAGGGGGGAGGAGGAGGAGTAGAGGAGGAGAGGAGGAGGGGAGAGGAGGGAGGACCAGGGGCGAGGACGAGAGGCTGCATGGCAGCATAAGAGTAGTAACATGCAGCATCGGCAAGCATTATCGGAGGCGAGTAGCGCGTCAGATTGGAAGCGGCGCGGGTCAGAGCAAGAAGCAGATGCTGAACAGATAGTGGGGAGGAGGTGGAAGAGGATGAGGACGAGGAGGAGGAAGAGGAGGAGTATGAGGAGAAGCGGAGGAGGAGAATAGGAAAACGCAGAAGGATGAGGAGGAGGAGGAAGAGGAGGAGGAGGTGGAGGCGGAAGCGGAGGCGGAGGAGGAGGAGGAGGAGGAGGAGGAGGAGGAGGAGGAGGAGGAGGAAGAGGGGGAGGAGGACGACGAGGAGGAAGAGGGGGAGGATGAGAAGGAGAAAGAGGAGGAGGAAGAAGAGAAGGAGGAGGTGGAGGAGGAGGAGGGGGAGGAGGAGGAGGAGGAGGAGGAGGAGGAGGAGGAGGAGGAGGAGGAGGGGGACGGGGATGTGGTAGAGGAAGAGGGGAAGCGAAGCGAAGCGAACGTCGAAGGCGTGCGCGCTCCTCTGGGATCCCGCCCGCGCCAATTCGAGGTTTTCGTCGGCGCCTCAAAAACGTGATGACACGGAGACGGACTCGCGTAGAGAAGGAGGAGGGAGGGCGCCTTCACACGTCTGCTGCCTCCCTGGCAGATTGGCCTACAGTGGCCTCCTGAGGAGGAAGAGAAGCCCGCTTTGACACATCTGCAGCCTCCCTGGAATAGTGGTCTACAGAGGCCTCCTCCTCCTCCTCATCATCCTCATCCTTTCCTTCCTCCTCATCATCATCATCCTCATCCTCCTCCTCCGCCTCCTTCTCTCCCCCCCCTCCTCCTCATCCTCCTCATCCACCTGCCCGTCGCCCCTCCCTACCCTCTCCCCCATCCCCCTCCCCTTCATTATTTCCCTCCTCCTCCTCCTGCTCCTCCTCCTCCTCCTCCGTAGCCATTGTGGCGCAAGCGGAGTCTGCTGTATAGCGTCTCTCTTCCTGTCTTCCCCTCGCTCTGCCGCTCATGCCTGCCAGGATGGATGCCCGCGAGTTGGTCTCCATGTTGCGCGGTCAGCTGCTGCGGGGCCTCTCCCACAAACATGGCATGCACTTTGAAGGGCTTTCGGCGGCGGCGCGGTTCTCGAAGGGCATCTCGCCTAAGCTTCGCAATAAGATGGTCAAACTTGATTTTGCTTATCACCTTTGCGGGCATATTACGCTTCAGAGTGTCTCATCGTTCGTCGCCGAAGTATGTGGCAGTGAGGTTTTGAGTGCAGCCCAACCACATGTTGATGCTGAAAGGGGTTCCTCGTCGGCTGGACCAACTGGCTCTGGCGCTTCTCTGGGCCCATCTGCCGTGGAATTTGCGATGCCAGTGCACTTGGATAGTATGGGTTCGTCGGTGTCTGCGCAGCCAGCCTTGTATGGGGCACCAGTGGACGCGGTAGAGCGTCCCGCGGCAGCTATGCTATCTATCCCTCAGATTCTTTCTTCGGCACAGGGCCAGCACGATCGTCAACTGCATTTGTTTCAACAGCTGGTTGAGGCGCAGAAATCTTCCATTGCGGTGCTGCGTGGTGCTCTGGAGGACGGTTCGGACAAGGACCCCGCCTCCGCTGCCCAATCATCTGCCACATCGGCTTCTTCGACAGGTGCTAGCAGCGAGAACGGGGATTGTCGCGACACGAACCGCCTCGAGACCCTGGAGGAGCAGGTGCGCACTTTGACCGAGCATGTTGCTCGTCTGCAGGTGCTGGAGTCACCGTCCACCAATGTCTGCACTGGCGTTGCGGCTAACCTTGATGAGGTCAAGGCCACGTTTGATCGCCAGCTCGACTTCCTCGGGCAGAGTCGCCTTGACGTCATCGAGGCGCAGCTGCAGGCTCTCAGCGCGCAGATGCCGACCCCCGTGAAGATCAAGGAGTTTGTCTTGACGGTGGCGTCAGATGTGGTGTCGCAGGCCGTTCGTGAAGCTGTTCCCCGTGCTATGCAAGAAGGGGTTACCCCTGCGCTGACATCGGTCGTGGCCCCGCTGGTCGCCGGCCTCGGGGACAAGATGGGCCAAAAGCTGGAGGGCTACGCTGACCACATCGAGCAGCTCGAGTCGGCGCTGCAGGTGCAGATCAACCTACTCGGAGAGCAATTGCAGAAGTTAGTTCAGGAGGCACGTTCGCCGGCAGAGACCAGTGGGAGCGCTGGCCGGAGTGGTGCCCAGCGCGGCGGCTCCCGTTCGCGCCCTCCGCCGGGTGCACGTTGTACCATCTGCAAGTACGGCAGGGAGTGCAAACGGCAGGATTGCGCCTTCGTCCACCCGAGCGGCCGCAAGTTGGACGGTAAGCCCATTGACTACGCAAAGTTTGACGACATCATCGTAGACGACGCGGTCGCTGAGATCGTCGGCGTGTTCAGCGCGCCCGGGGCCGCTGATGTCCTCCCCCCCGAGCCCGAGGTCGACTGATGGCTTCACGCGGAGGCTGCGCCCGAGCTCGCGCGTCCTGTCGGCTCGTGGTGTTCGCCTTCCTTGTCCTGTTCTTCCCCTACTGGTTCCTCTACTTCGCGTTCTACATCAGCGTGTGGGCCTGGCCTTCCCTAAAGGGTCCGCGCGGAAGCAGACAGACATCGAGGGGAACGCTGTGCCTCCTCCTTCTCCTCCTCCTCCTCCTCCTCCTCCTCCTCCTCCTCCTCCTCCTTCTCCTCCTCCTCCTCCTCTCTTCCTCCTCCTCCTCTTTTTCCTCCTCCTTCTCCTCCTCCTTCTCCTCTCTTCCTCCTCCTCCTCCTCATCCTCCTTCTCCTTCTGCTCATCCTCATTCCCCTCCTCCTCCTCTCTTCCTCCTCCTCCTCCTCATCATCCTCCACCTCCTCCTCCTCCTCCTCCTCCTCCTCCCCTCCTCCTTTCTTCTTCCTTCTCCTCCTCCTCCTCCTCCTCACTTCCTTCCTCCTCCTCCTTTCCTCCTCTTCTCCTCTTCATCTCCTCTCTCCCTACCATCCTCCTCCTCCTCCTCCTCCTCCTCCTCCTCATCAATCATCATCATCATCATCATCAATCACATCATCATCATCATCCTCTCCTCAAATACCTCCATTCCCCTCCTCCTCTCTTCCTCCTCGTCCTCCTCCCCTCCTCTCTTTCATCCCTCCTCCTACTCCTTCTCCGCCTCCTCCTCTTTTCCCATCTTCCTCCTCCTCGCCCCTCCTCCTCTTCCACTCCTCCCCTCCTCCTCCCCACTCCTCCTCTCTTCCATATCCTCCTCCTACTCCTCCGTCCTTTTGCTCCTCCTCCTCCTCCTCCTTCTCCTCCTCCTCCTCCTCGTCCTCCTCCCTCCTCCTCCTCCTCCTAGCCGCCGTCCCGGCCCGAGGCTTTTGGGTGCAGGTATCCAGGATACCTGCGAAGCCTCGCGGGACTCGGCGGCCATGCGCGCTCGCCCGCGCCGCCCTCGCTGGTGGCGTGCGGGCCGGCCGTGCTGCTGCGCTGTGGCGTGCGCCGCCCCCAGGGTGGGCGGGCGCACGACGGCGCGGGCGCCCGCAGTGCGCAGGGCGCGGCGCCGGCTGCGCGTGCGCGAGCCCGCCTGGCATAGGCGCGCTCGCGAGCGGCGCACGCAGTCGCGCACCTTGCTGCGCGTCGCCGCGGCAGCGGCGAGGTTGCGCGTGCACCACAGCAGCGGGATCATGTCTGGCCGTGCTGGAGGCTATGGCAGCAAGGGCGGCGGCCAGGGCCGCAAGGGCGGCGGCAAGGGCAGCGCGGGCAGCGGCCACAGCGGGCAGAGTGGCAGCACTCCACCGTGGGCTGTGCCGCCGCCGCCACCAGGATGGTGGTGCCCGACGTGCGGAGGCCTCAATGGCCCGTCGGACCTGCTCTGCCGCACGTGCATGCCCCTGCCCGCCTGCGGGCCGCAGCACGGCGCGGCGGACCGCGGCAGCGAGGCTGGCGATCGACGCAGCCAGCCGCGCGACCGCCACCGCCGCGCCTCCGGCTCGCGCCGCCGCAGGCGATCCAGCCAGACCAGGTCGGCCTCCCGCGTGCGCTTCGCGGAGGACGAGGACTACGATGGCGCGGCCAACGAGGGTGGCCACACCTCGGACGGCGGCGACGACGAGCTGCGCAGCCCGGCCCTGGGCATTTTGCCCGCGCTGCCGGAGGCCGCCAAGGCTCACCCCGCCTGGGTCGAGCCGCCGAGCGAGGAGCGTGAGCTTGGGGCTCACCGCCGCTCGCTGCGCCAGATGGCCGCCGCCACTGGCAAACGCCTCCAGGCTGCGAAGGATCTAGGCATGTCGGCCGAGCAGATGCGCCCTCAGGAAGAGGAGTATGCCGTGCAGCTCTGTATGATAATTATCGCTCGTCCCTCTGGCGTGAGATGTGACAAGCACCGGTCATATGTCCAGAGAGCGCAGCAGAAGCTGGAGAAAGCTCAGGACGCCGCCGCTGCAGCTCGTGCCGCCCTGGAGGAGGCGGACGCCAAGGTCCAGCAGAGGTCGGCCGCCGTGGAGAGGGCCAGGACGCTGCTGGAGCAGCTGGAGGCCATGCGCCCGCCTCCTGCTGCTGCTCAAGAGGCTGCCGACGGAGACGTGCCTATGGGCGATCCTGCTGCAGGCACGCCGCCAGCGATGCCAGGCACCCCGCCCGACACGGCCCCGCCGATCGCGGCGCTCGCGGCGCTGCAGGCTGGGCAGCTGGAGCTGGGACAGGCGCTCGTGGGGCTCAGGGGCTTGCTCGCGACGGTCCAGACGGAGATGGCGGCGATGCGGGCCCAGGGCACTGCGGCACCGCCTGCGGCCCCCCCAGAGGTCCGCCCGTTCGCTGGGCCGCCGCAGCGCCGTGGGCC